TATAAATGTGTCACTTGGATCAGGCAAAGGGGTCGTGTTAGATGGTGGGGTGGTATAACTTTTGAAAAGCATAATAACACCAGATGGAATAGCGTCGAAAACAATAGCAAATTCTTTAGGGGTTACAGGAGTTTTGTAATGAGAAAGAAATTCTTGTTCTTGGTCCGTGTTCGAGTTGAGCTGCACCTCGCCTGGAAAACAGACGAGAGCAGATGGAAGGAGCAGGGGGAGTGGCTGAAAGCCGGCATTTAAGTCGGACAGATTTCCCTACATGTGTAGCTCGGGGGTGACGATGGGTGAAGATATCCCGTTAGAGTTCATACTTGTTTAATTATTTATTTTAATTCTGGTGCCTGTTAGCAGCTGAAACACATCCTCACGTGCTTGTGGATATCATATATTCTATATGAAAACATGACTGTAATAATAAGTAAAGGTTATCAGCTGAAGGTTTAGCGTGCTCATAGGAAACGTGACAAAAGAACACAAAACACATTTCTTTGTGGCCTATATTGTTGTCATCATCAACGTTACATGATTTACAGAATACATGTGACCAACTATCTTTTTTTTCTCCTTGAATACGCTTTATTGACAAAGCACATAATACAACAACAAAGAAATAGCAAGCACAATGTCGGGGGTTTCTATGGGAAAACAAAACAGTCTAACAAAGAATCACATGATATTGAACAGGGAACATAAGTTTATGGTTTTGACAGCTTTCAAATTTTGAGAATGTTGTATGGTTTGAATTTTATTTGATTAATTTATTGATATTATTAGCTAAATTTCATATACATAAGTCGAAATTTTCTAATGCAAAACCTTTCTCTCAGTGCTTTTTAAATGAAACCAGACAATATATAAAAACCATGTGACCAACTAACATTTCATGTTCTACCACCGGATGTTTGGATCAAAATATGAACCAATCAGATTGTCACGGTTTGCCTCCACCTTCTGGTGAAGTGTTGTTCAGTTTTGTGTTACAGGTGGGCGCGGCAGACTGCACAGCTGTTTGGAGTTCCACTAATTGAGGTGCAGAGGATTTAAGGAGCGGTGTGACTCAACTCCAGCGCCGGTTGATACTCTCACATGGGTAGCCTCTAGCCTCTGAATCAGCCTGTTTCCTTATGATCCTGAATTAATGAATTTGTATCCTGTTTTAGGTCCTGTCCACACGTAGCCGGGGATCTGCCAAAACGTAGATATTTTTCTACGTTTTGGCCTGTCATCCACACGAAAACTGAGTTTTTCACACGAAAACGGATCTTTTTAAAATCTCCGGCCAAAGTGAAGATCTGCGTTTTCTCCGTTTTGGGTGTCTGCGTGTGGACAGACAAAACCGGAGTTTTAAGGTCCGCAACGTCACTTTCCGCGACAAAAAAATGCTGACATCACGTGTGCGACCTGTGTTTACACTAGCCGACAGCATGGATGCCCTCAGAGCTGCGCTCGCTTTATCAATTGTCCAAGCGCTTTTTGTTCGTTTGTTTTTGCAAGCGGAATTACTGCTTCTTGCGGAAGACCACAGACGAAGGACGAGGTTAAGAACGAGGGAAGTACTGCCGCCTACAGGTCTGGCATGTCCTTAACAACGTATTTATCCGGGTACGTGTGGACAGTTTTTTCAAAAAAAATGAGGTGGTGTGGATGCAAGTTTTTGGAGGGGCGGATATTCGTTTTTTAAATAACCTGGCTACGTGTGGACTAGGCCTTAGTATCCTGTTCCTGCACCACCTACCTTGCCTGGAGTTGTCCTCACGTCTCGCCGCTCAAGGATCCTCTGATCTCCTCTCTCCACGTCTGCCCGCCAACCCACGCTCTGAACCATCACACCCGGACTAACCTCTCCCTGTTCGCCTCCGCTCTAGTCCTGGTGTCTGACCGTAAGAACTCTCAGTTACATACTCTCGTAGTCCTGGTTCTCTGGTTCTGGCCTCGCTCACCTCCTGTTCTTTTTATCTCCGTAGATTCCGGTACTCCCCTGTTCCTGATCATAGAAGCAGCGTCTTTAGTTCTAGTTTTACCTCTTCTGTTTCACATTGTAAATAAATCACTTTATATTTTTGTACTTACCTCTCCTCTCCTTTGATTCTTCACGTCCTGGGTGAAATCCATTACCCACAATATGACAGAATCAACCGGCCAAACGAACACCCCATTGAAGAATCACTCCCTGCAGTCCTAGCAAATACATTATCACAGCATGAAGGATCCATTCATTCCGCCCTCGATCAATTGTCACTCGTTAACCAGCGTTTATTCCAGCTCGATTCCGCTATCCATCAGGTAAACGAGAAACTTACACCGTCTCCTGCCGCTGTCTCTGTAGCTTCATCGCCGGCTCCACTTCCTGTTCAGCATCACGGGATCGGTTTCCGGGTTACGCAACCACCTCAACCAGAAACATTCGCCGGTGAACCTGGAAAATGCCGTTGTTTTTTGTTAATTTGTGAATTGGCTTTCAATAGATCACCTGATATGTTTGTAAATGATGCAGTTAAGATTTCCTATATCGTCAGTCTGTTACGTGGTCGAGCCCTACAGTGGGCCGAGGCTAGGAGTCGCAACCAACTTTTCTTCAGGGACCGTTTGCAGCATTCCTAGCTGAGTTTAAACAAATTTTTGATCAGTCTGAATCCCCAGCCGAAATCGCCAAACAAATCTGGAGTCTCCAGCAGGGTCGACAGTTGGTGGTAGAATTTGCCATCGATTTTCGTACCCTTGCCTCCCTTTCCACACTAGATGAACCTTCCCTTAGAGCCGCTTTTTCTCATGCCCTTAACGATAGGATTAAGGACCAAATCAAATCAATCAAATCAAAGCTTTATTTATAAAGCGCCTTCCGCAACCCTGTCAGGAAGCCCAAGGCGCTGAACATGGTACAGTACAAAGTTAAATAAAGTGAATACATCAGAAAATAAAAGCAATTCAAATTACAGATTACAATTTACAAAAAAGGTGAAACATTCTAGAAGAAGACGAATGTGTAAAACAAGGGAAAAAGTTAACCAATGAAAACTGTGAGATAAAATCAACATAAAAGAGGGCCAAATTCAAACATGTTCAGGAAACGCCAAGCGGAGGAGGTGTGTTTTTAGGCGACTCTTGAAGACTGGCAGAGATGGGGACTGCCTAACTGAGGGTGGCAACTGGTTCCAGAGTGACGGTGCTAGGACTGAGAAAGCCCGGTCCCCACGAGTACGACACCTAGAACGAGGGACAACGAGCAGGCCTTGGTCAGAGGAGCGCAGAGCGCATGATGGGGAATGTCTGTTCAGGAGCGTGGCTAGATAGGGGGGACCACCACCCTGGAAGAAATGATAAACAAAGACGAGGAGTCTGAAGTGTGAACGATAGCAAACCGGAAGCCAGTGCAGGGAGGCCAGAACCGGACTTATGTGGTCCCGTTTCCTGGTCCCAGTCAGGAACCTGGCTGCGCTGTTCTGCACAACCTGTAGGCGACGCAGTGATGACTGACACAACCCTGCATATAGAGAGTTGCAGTAATCAAGCCTAGAAATTACAAAAGCATGCAGTACCCACTCCAGGTGGGCTCTTGACAGCATGGGCTTGATTTTTGCAAGGCGTCTCAGGTGAAAGAAACTGGACTGGATCACAGAGTTGATGTGAGCATCAAATTTAAGTCCAGCATCAATTTTCACCCCCAAACTGGTCACATCTGGTTTTGCCAAGAACCAGAGAACCTAGAGTCTCTGGTCCAGTTAGCCGCCAATATTGAAAAGCGCCTAAAGGAGAGACACAAGACACATACTCTCAGACCATTTCCTGATTCTGCTCCACAACGTCAACCTCATCCCTCTCTGGTTCATCCCGAGGAACCTATGCAGACAGGTCGAGGACGTTTAACCCCTGAGGAGAAGGCTAGACGTCGCTCCTTAGGCCTCTGCCTTTACTGTGGTCAGCCGAGTCACATGCTGCAGGATTGTCCGGTTCGACCAAAAGCCAGGGCCCATCAGTAGGACCGGGATTACTGATGGGTGGAGTTCCTGGAAACCTGAATTCCCGGTGCAGCTTAACCTGTTCTGTCTCCTACAACCAACAGACAGTTTCAACTCAGGCGCTGGTGGACTCTGGATATGAGAGGAGTGTCCTGGACCAAACTGTTGTTCAACAGCTCAACATTCCCACCATTCCTCTGTCTACCCCCATACGCGCTTCCTCGTTGGATGGCTGCTCTCTGACAACATAACACATCGCACAGTTCCAATTAATATGCAAATCTCTGGTAACCATCATGAGACCTTGAGTTTCTATATTTTCCTTCTCCCCAGTCGCCAGTTGTTTTGGGTCATGAGTGGTTAGTGTTAACTGTCTGATTTAAATATGAATGTATGGATTTTTTTTCTTGCATACACACTTTATGGCCATCCCCAGTGGGATTATAAAACACTGATACCACCAACAAATAATCAGTTGCCGGACAATAGGCACAACATACCTATGCTTATTTAAGTTAGCAGGTGAGTAATGGATGTGCAAGTGTTTATTTTAAATGCAATAAAATAAAATATCAGAAAAAGTAATTAGTGGTAATCGTTTTAATTAACCCTTTAAGCCCATTAGCCTCCATTTTTGGGAGCACGCCTCCTACAGCAACATTTAACTTTCAACCATTTGTTATTACAGGCACTAACAGTGGGTCTAAGTTCATACGAGTGAGTAGTTAATATTTATGTTACTATTTATGATTTTTTATTGCTTCTTTACAGTGAAAAGCTGCTGATGTGTAATTTTTAGGCATATTTACATGTGTATACATGTATTTCATATATTCTGTTAACAGGAATAATTGCTGGCCCTTTGACACAAATGTATTGATTTAGAAATTACTAAAATATTTTGAATTAAGTATACAATTCAAACACAAAAGTAGAAAAGTTTTGCTTTAGAAAAAAAGTTCAGACAGGAACAGCTTTTATTGGCCTTACAAATACCTTCCAAAAAATGCCAACACAATGCTACAGCCTCTTCAAAAATTCAGATGAGTCCAGAGCTTTTCTGAATTTCTCCGTGTATATGAACAGTTTCTGTTTAGCCTCCTTGCTCATGTTTTTTTCCATGGCATAGGACATCAGCTGCCTCTCACTAATGAGACAGAGATAAATAGCAATTAGTAAAAATGACATTCACACCTAGAGGCTGTCATAAAAATGTGAAAACAATACATATAGGCATTAGCACTGCTCTTGAGTTTGTAGAATACCTCCAGTCATACTGCAGCCCACTGCCGTACATTTCTGTGGCTTTGTCCGTCAACATTCATGGACAGCTGAAAGCGCATGGATGGTTGCCTGAGTAATGAAGTGAACAAAAGGACATCTTTCATGTAGACATTAGTCTGTCATGTTGCAGGTAACAAGATATTAACCATGAGTTATAGACTGAAAACAGTAATGCTACAAAATATTTTCATGTGATACATAAACATTTTCAGAACGTACCTCTGGCAGAAGCACATCCATCATGAATGCCACTTGATTGTGACATCTGGTTGTCTGTGCTTCAACCAGGCTCGTCAAGAAGCCCATCACTCTCTCCAGCTGCTCATCCTCCTCAAAGAAAATGTCCACCCTGCCCTTTGATGAAGCCCAGGTGGATGACACTTTTCCTGCGATGATTGCCTGTAAATAGAGATATTTTTGGAGGATGCTCAAAGTAAATGTCCAAACACTAGGTTAGCAGAAAATGTTTCACTTAAATAATTCATGAGTCATGTTTTGACTGAAATTAGTCACAGTGTGCAAATTTAATTATAAATTTAAAACTCACTTCCAGATGTTGCAATAGGCCTTTATCCTGAGTGATAAATGATATAAGATACAGCTGACTCTTCTTTGGTCTTCAGCTTGCTGAGCCCTTTCCTAAAATTAGATCAAAAACCATTTAGATGCTTAACAGAATTATTCTGGTTAAGCAGGTTAAATAAGATAAGTTGTTTCTTGGTCCTTTGCATGTCCTTACCACAAGCCTGTCATAAGTCATGTCTTTACTCAGGATCCCAACATCTCTGGTTGTGGTGACCACGTTGTGTTGGTCCATGCCGTCATTGTCCTTAATCAAGACACACAAAAACATGACTTCATGCACAGCAGTTAAAATTAATTTTATTTTGTTGTCATGCAATAATCTTCACTCATATTCACCTGCTCTCTGAGTGGAAAGCTGTAAGGTGTCTTAACACCCCCCCACCCCCCCCCCCCACCCCCCCCCCCCCGCGCAGCGGCCGCAAACTCACTGATGCACCTGCAGCCTCTCGGAGTTCCTGCTGCTCTAAACATTAAAATAATTATTTCATTTTCTGTTCCTCACTTCTGATTACCTTCAATGGTGTCTGTTTGTTGCAACCACCAGGTACAAAAACTAACTTGTTTTTATTTGACTATTTTTCTGTCCTGTCTGTTTATTATCTTCCTGCATCTCCTCTCAGTCCTAAAGAAAAACTGCTACCTGCGTTCATATATATTCACCTCATGAGTTACCTTTGAACTGCAGTTCTAAAAGATCTACCGACCGAAAAAACAGCGGAGTGCTCGCTGCTTGGTGGCCGCATCAGTGATCGGTGCGTCACCGGAGGACAAGGTGATGCGCCCCGCTCCACAGCAGCAAAACGCATCAGGCGCAAATAAAAGACAGAAAACATAAAAGGAAATGAGCCGACATGAACGATCGCGTGTTAAATTAGTTTTTGAGGTGGTGACACCTGATTTGATAATGTTACTGTGGCTGTGCTCAGGACGCAGATGTCTGGAGCGCGTCAAAAATCAGAGCTTTGCATGCGTAAGCTGGTTAAGGTTAGGATGGGGGTGAGGGGAAGGTTAAATTGCAAGAGGGTAAAAGTCACAATTTGGTTAAATGTCTGTTTTACGGCGGGCGTCAGTACCGACGCTCTGGCACTCCGCTCTTGCCCCCCCGACACGCAGGAGCTTGTCACCTGCTGACAGCAGGCTGCTGTCTTTTCCGTGGACTGCATCTTGCCGGTCATTATCACGTGACAGCGACCAGTCGATGACAGGCTTAACAAGTCATTATAGTGAAGTCGTCTAGTGACTAGTTCATACAACCCCTACTGCTCCCCAGAGTGTTCTGCAGCATAATCAGCACGTTCTCTTTGAACTTGATATCAAATTTTCGCCTCCTCTTCGTCTCCGCACGGTTAAAGTTACCCTCGCGGTCTGTCACTGGCAAATCAAAAGTGAGACGGATGACACAACCGCCCTCCTGTGGTACTTGTTTGTTACCACATTCCACCCGGCCACAATAAAATACCGGCCATTATTCACCTCCGCCGACTCTGACACCGGCCAAAATATGATACCCGGCAGTTAATTGAATACAGGCCAATATTCGAGGATTTAAGGTAAAAGCCTATTGTTACGTTTATTTTGGCCAAAAGGCTTGCATGTAGCCCATTAAAAATTATATAAAAAATATTTTGCGTCCATGACGTCTTCCCCCACTGCCAAATAATGCTTAATTTTATATAAAAGTGTTTCAGAAAAAAATCACTAATGCGCTATCGATCAAACTATGTCTTAAACGTTCAAATTTAAAGTAATTTTTTTTCGCAAGTTGTAAAAATGTAAACCTGTTTTTACCTGAACCGTCATTTCCATCTGGTGTTGCAACACGCATGCGAGTTCTCGTCTTCGAACATGCAGGCGTCTTTTGTAGGGAGCTCAGACCAGAAAATATTGCAACTAACAGGAATTTTCAGGTCCTCGTTGCATGGAACATTGCCTAACATTGGCCTGTTCGTCATCATCCTGAAATGTGTCCAGTTTGTGAAAATTCACTGCCTGCATCAGGACATCTAGCTCTGTTATACACACAAGACAACTTTTACCTTTATCTGTTTTTATCTGATCAGATTTTAATAAGTGTTTATAGGAGAAACATGTCTCCCTTGTGATCTTACGCTCTGCAGCAAACAGCCACCCTGCATGCTCTTCACCACTCATTAATTTACACAATAATTACAAAAATCATGTGATTCATAAAAGCCTGGAGAACTGAGTTAGGAGGCATGAACAGGGCCAGGCAGCAGGAAAACTGATTTTAAGATTGATTGTGACAGGTTGGTGAGTAGGTGAGCAGATGCACATGGACACAGTCTCATCTCAAACGGTTTTGCCTTGGGAGCTAAGTGTGTGATTGCATAACTGCTGAATAAATCATGGTCAGAGTAGACTGAAGCAGCCCGATGGAAAACCTTACCTCAACAACATAACAGAGGTACAACAGGCTGGAGGACGGTGTGTGTGTGTGTTAGAGGGAGGGATTATGGTATGAAATAATAAAATAAAAAATTATGAGAAACAATGGGATGAAAAGTATTAGTCAGACTAGAAAAAAACATTTAAATAAAAAATAATAATCATTAATAAGGGTATGACATCTTAATGAAATGAAGTGACCTGGTGAGTCTGATGGCCTCGTGAGCTTTGAAAGACACAGTCTTGTGTCTTTGAGGCTGCTCAGCCTGCTGCACGAGGGATGTAGGGTTATTAGTTCATGCTGGATGGCATGGATTCATCGTTATTTTCTTTGCATCAGATGCACCAGAAAATCACCAGCAATTTTCTAGGGGTGGCCAAGGCCACCCCTGGCCACCCCTTGGGGGCGCCCTTGGCTTTTAAGTCCCTCCTCTTGCAGGAAAAGACCTACAGCCAAACTTCCTGCACTCTTTCACCAGCTCTTTAACAATAACAGCCCCTCACCTCTTGGTCAAAACAGCAAAATAACAGCAATGACAACTCTTCTTTGTAGGATGAGGTGCTCATCGTGGCTTCCTCTGCGGGGAGCGCACCGACTGACTAACGTGATCCACCGGGACGGAGCGCGACTCCTAGCCGGGAGCGGTCGCCCTCTGACGGTCTACAGTCGCCCGGACACCCGCGGACAGCACACTCGGGCGGTGGATCCCACGGAGGTGGATTTACAGCGTTTAGAGGGTCAGGACGAAGGTGGGAAGTTGGGAACACACGGAGAGCAAAGCTGCTCAAATATGTGAAATCTTCAGTCATGAGCTCGATAGAAAGCTGAGAATGTGCTCAACTTCAAACCTTGAGCTATTCCAGATTATTATTAGAAACTGCTCGTTTTTCACTGGAAAATCATCAAATAACCCCAGCATCTACAGATCTTAGAAGCTGTTTTAATAACATATAATACTTTTCAAATCACCAGTGTGCTCTTGCTTTCAGTGACCTGATTTTATTTAAATTTCTAAACATTTTCATGACAGTCTGACAAAGTTTGTTTTTGCAAATGATTGAATAAATAAAAAGGTCACTTACACTAAAAATAAAGTTAGTAAAACTAGGGGTAATCTATATTATAATTAGAAATTTCTGTTGTAATTTTAAAAAAAATTTATTTATATTTTTCTTTTATTATATCATCATTAGGATAAACAGAGATATCTATACTAGGCAGAAAGGGACCCAAACAATTTTTTTCTATAGGAGCTCCTAAATACTATTTCATGAATAGACTGTTAGTTTCATAATTACTCGAAATCACAAAAATGTTTTTAAAATGGAATAATTAAAAAGGCATGGGCCTAAAAGGAAAGAAGGATCTGGAAGGTTTTCTTTTTCAGCATTTTGATAAAAATTTGATTTAGTAATTTTTTTTCATTTGTTTGGTATTTTTCTGCCATTTTCAGTTGTTTGGTTAATCAACAGGTAAAACATAAATATAAGATTAGATGTGCATCTTTTCTTGTTGCTGCTTTTCTTTCTTCCACACGTCTTTTTCTTCATTCTCTCAGGGATAGTAGAGGTGTTGATGTGCCGACACAAAGCAAGAAACTCTCTGGGCCACATGTTTGTGTCACAGGTCAGTATAGGTCTAACACACACACACACACACACACACACACACACACACACACACACACACACACACACACACACACACACACACACACACACACACACACACACACACACACAGAGTGAATGTGTGTATGCACATGTGCAGATGAGGGAGCTGGTTTCCAGTCTGTCCAGTGACTCAGCAGTTCGGGTGGTTATCTTCAGGAGTTCAGTACCTGGGGTCTTCTGTGCAGGTGAGTGGTGAGATGTGTGTGAGAAAGTTTCCACAGAACTCGCTCAGGTGTTTATGTGTGTGTGTGTTTTTTTAAGGTGCTGACCTGAAAGAGAGAGCTCTAATGAATAACACTGAGTCCGATCTGTTTGTTCATGGCTTGCGCTCCCTCATGACTCAAATAGGTAATGGTTTAACTAAACCATTATTATTGAATCGTGGTTTTAGTGCTTGTCTCATAGATTTATCTCAAATTCCTTAACAGCATTGTTTCCCACACCGACAATAGCAGCGATGGACGGCGTCGCCTTGGGAGGCGGCCTTGAGCTGGCTCTGGCCTGTGACCTCCGTACTGCCTGTGCGTACCCATCAGCCCTGACCTAGAACAGACTGCATCACACCTCAGTGGAATCTTTTTATTTTATTTCACCTGATTATACTTACTCCGTTAGAAAGGGGACATCATGTTGTGTTTTTACAGCTGTCACTAACCCAGACACATCAGGTCGGAGTCTTTAGTCTGAACAGGAGAGCAGCTTCACACAGACAGGTTCTATGTTACATCAGTGGGGATCAGAACAGTTTTGTTTTAAAAACGTTTCACCATCTGGATGTAACTAGAATGCAGGCATTTAGGAGACATTTTTAGCAGCTTTGTTGTTGAAAATATGTAAATAATTACAATTTCATCTATTCTAGACACCTTCACGAGTTTATAATGTACAGGACTGAGGGGCTAACAGCTAGTCCAAGCACAGCCAAGACCCAAGAGTTTTGCTGCTGTCCTAAAATGACACAAATGTCCTAAATGCATGTTATGCTGTTTAAAAAAAATAACTTCTCTCCAATCAATTTAGGTAATTTACAAGAATTTTTATAGTTATTTATAACCACCAGCATCACCACCAAACATATAACTATGCTTTTATTACTGAAAAAACATAATTCGTAAATTATTAGAATTTTTTAATTAAAATAATTGTAGATTAATTTTCTCTAAATTTCTTAATTATCAGTGATATGAAGAAAAAACAAATATTTAAGTTGTTCAAACATAATTTTTGTTTTTCTTTCAGTATTCTGCCCTCACTAGACGATGAAGCTGGGTTCTAGCTTGGCAGATAGCTTAACAGGTCCACGATAAACATCCAGGAGTCAGCAGGGACGTTTTAGATATTAACTGTAGAAGGCACTGTAAAACTGCAATACAGGAAAACAATAAATGAATAATGTTACATAACATTTGTGATGTATTTATATGTATTTTATATTAATAAACACTTAATAATAAACTTTCATGTACTTTATGTGTAAACCATAAAGATATAATAAAACAATCACAAGTTTTTCCCCCAAGAACCTAGCGGTTAGCTCAATGCTAAGAATATATGTAAAATACCATAGACGGGCTAACGCATTAGCATCGCAACCGTTTTTATTAGAGATAAAAACTTCCACAACTGTTACATAAAACTATAATAAATACGCTCAACAGAACAAACTTATATGACTTGCAGGCATGTGCTCTTTCAGGCTTAGCAAGAAAAGATGAACCAATATGCAGAAAACATAACAGTTAGCTTAACGGTCATCTCCAGTTGAGAATAACTATGGCAAGTACCCTGTACAAATTACATACGCACGCACGCACATGCGTGCGCACAAACACACAGAGCTAAATTTACATGACTGCCTTAAAGGGGCGGCACAGTTGTGATGAAAAAAGCTTTTAGCAACTCCATTGTTGTGCTTAACTCATTCACCGCCAGCCGTTTCCTGATCAGAAAAACCCATCGCTGCCAGTGTTTTTCAGCGTTTTCACTGTTTTTTGAAGAGTCGCGTTGCGCGCTAGGATGATGTCAACGCCAAAAAAACCAAAACAAAGCGTAGACTCACCTCTTACATCAGGAAGAATCTGTGCATTTTGAGCGTTACCCGTTCTTTCTTAATCCGTTGTCGAATTGTGATAGTCAGAAGCTTTTCCTGTTCGCGCCTCACTTTTTTTTACAGCAGTGGCCCAAAACAATCTCCTAACGCATGAATTTTCTGCATCCTGATCACGTGACGTGTGACGTACGCGGATGAAGATCGGCTTTAGAGCTGGGATGGTTGTTCTCACAGTGTGGGGGCTCGTCCGACGCCCACACAGTAAAAAAATGCAAATGACAACTTTAGTTGTCATTGGCAGTGAACGTTTGGATTTAAAATGACGACTTTTGTCGTCAATGGCAGTGAATGAGTTAACCATATTAATGGCTTCTTGTTACTGCAGCATGTCCACATATTCACTGAAGTGATATAAAGATACTAGGAAGGGATAACAATTTGTTTCCTAAAAATAATACAACATTGTTATCACGTGTTTCCCTCCATCCGCAGGGCTCCAGTCCAACGTCCCTAATCCATCATTTCTACTAAATTTGTGTTTTAAGCTGAATCTTGAAGGATGTAAACACAATTTCTCCAAACAGAGGCTGTTATAGACACTGAACATTTTTAATCTGCTGGATCAGATCACATAGAAACACACTTCCAGATTAATATTTGTCTAAATGATCTTCTGGCTAGCTATCTGCCCAGATGTTTGTGTATAAATCAACATGTTGCTTGTGTTAGTCGGGGCAGCTCTCTGATTGGTCAGGCATGGCTGCACCAGGTGAGCAGGTGTTTGTTTGACAGAAGCATCAGTCAGACTTTGCTCCTGTGCCAGCTTGATGACTCTCAGCAGCACAGACCTTCAGCTGTCCTCTATGTGTGTGTGTGTGTGTGTGTGTGTGTGTGTGTGTGTGTGTGTGTGTGTGTGTGTGTGTGTGTGTGTGTGTGTGTGTGTGTGTGTGTGTGTGTGTGTGTGTGTGTGTGTGCGTGCACGTGCCTTTCAGCTTATTCTGCACAGATGGGGCTGATTGAGACAACACGGGGGCTGCTCCCAGGAGCGGGTAAGACCATCAGAGGTCACTCTGATGACCTCTTTCCTCCATCGTCTACAGAGTTGTGAGAGGTTAACCATGAGACATTCTGTCCTGCAGGGGGCAGTCAGCGGCTGCCGCGGATGGTCGGCCCCACTCTGGCCAAGGAGCTCATTTTCACAGGTGGACTAACGAAAAAGGTGTTCAAATGAGCACATGTTACTGGAGACCCATGGTGGGTTTCTGTGTTTCCAGGTAGGCGTGTAGGAGGGCAGACGGCTCTGGAGATGGGATTGGTAAACAGAGCTGTAGAACAGAACCAGACTGGAGATGCTGCCTACAGAGAGGCACTCGCTCTGGCCAGAGAGATCCTGCCCCAGGTTTGAATTCAGCCCCTGTAATTTCCCACCTCCATGTTTGTGTTCCTCCTTTATCCATCCTACTTATCTTTCACTCCTGCAGCACCCAAATTATTCTGCTTAGCCAACATTTGGATCCCCTTAGACACATTTTCAGTTTTTTTTTTTAAATAGTTTACAAAATATGTAGAGACAATCAGTATTTTTTCCTTTTAATCTCTGGAAAAATTCATCGAATTGTTGCTGAAAATGCATAAAATGCAGTTGTTGAAAAATATAGGCGGTTTCATAACATATAACCGTAAAAATGGGGGTCTAAAGTACATAGGGTGTGGATCTAGCGCGGGGGTCGGCAACCCGCGGCTCTGGAGCCGCATGCGGCTCTTCCATCCATCTGATGTGGCTCTCTGTGCTTGTAAAATAATGAATGGATATTTAATTAAAATGCTTTATATTTTACTGCATTAATTTTACATCTGTATGCCAATTCTAAATGTAAAGATTGTCTGCGTAAACCTGAACAGGTCCAACCCGGTCTGACTGTGAGACTGGGTTGACGGGTCACGCTTGTGCGTAATCATAGGCGCTTCCTGAGCTGAAGAGGAGGTGAGATTCTGGGATTCTCCTCAGACGGCTCCTGGATGTGTCGCCACATTGGAGACAGGAACAAGCGCTATTCAGCCAAAGTTTCATAATCAGGGAACATGTTCTAAGTGACAAGTCTCGCTTCAGTCGGAGGAATCTTCCCGCATGCGCTCTGGTTCTGCAACGTGCTCCAAGCCCCTCTCCACATCTTCAGCTCGCTGTGCGCTGTACGTACGCGCTGACAGTGAGCTGCGCTGAGCAGTGTTCAGCTCAGATGTTCAGATGGGAATCATTTCTTGGGTGATTTAGCTACATCTGTGATGTGCGTAACGAATAAAGTGTCAGTTCGTCTGCATGCGTCGGGGTAATTCTTTCTATTCTTTCTCCGTCAAAATAAACGGTCAAATACGGGAACTGTCCGGTCAACACAAGCCCTGCTTTTAACTGTTCTGTTTTCTTGTGAAAATTGTTGCAAAGAGATATAATTTAACTTGATTAACACCAGAGCCAGGCGCACTGCACCGTTATCTCCGTCACTGTAAATGAGGGAAAAACAAAATGATCGGATCCATTTCTGACCTTCCCCACCTACAAAGTTTAATTACAACAATCAAACGTGACAGAGCCTGGATTTGTATTCTGAACAGTCTAAACATGTTTTAAAAAGAAACGTATGACAAAAGTGGCACCTGCTCAGTAAAACCACCAACAGGGAGAAAAATATCTAAATATTGTAGGCAGAGACGGGCTACAACTTCTGGATCCTTGTTTATATAAATCATTTTATTGATTATCGTCTTATGAAAGATAACTTTGACGTACACGAGTGACCGGTACCGGCTGCTGTAACCTGTTGTGAACAGCTCTCTGCTGTCTGAGGGTAGGCCCCGCCCACAACGCCGTGGCTGCTGTGGCTCCCAGTGTTTTCTTTACTGTGGGAAATGGGTAATAATGGCTCTTTGATGGGAACAGGTTGCCGACCCCTGGTCTAGTGTCTTTGGGGGTGCCATGATTCTTTCTGGCCAGCTCGGGGCCCTGCGCCTGTTGATGACATCACACTAGATGATTGGCTGAATGTGCGACTTACGGAACTTACATTATCATGTTCAAAATCATTTAGGCAGTAAGAAACATGAATTTAATAACAAAACTGCTTAACGTTTTCCAAAACAAATGTGGAACAACAGAATTGAGAGAGAGATGCAATGTTTTGGTCGAGCAGTATTACTGTATTGTGATGCCGTCATCGGCAGGGACAGGACCCCGAGCAGATCCGGAAACCACGAGGCAAGAATGATCCATCTGCTTCGCCAAATTCTCCTCCAAACATGCAAAACAACTGAATTACGGGCAAATACGTTGTTTCTTGCAGCACACTACCATGATGCAATGCAAGAAACACAAACATTGACGTCACAAAAGATCCTCCTACATCTGGTTAGAAGTTATTGTAACTTGTTTATCACGGTGGAGCCTCAGAAGAGACAAAGAAAACATTTTTCTGATGAAGCTAAAAGAATAAAAAGAACGTCCGACCACAATAGGAGTCGAACAAGAGTCAAGATCAGGAGTTTTCTGAATCGCCTGAGCTCAGAGACACTTTTCCTGCATGTTTTAGATCATGAACCTGGCTGATTTGTATAATTTAGTGATGAATCACTCCTGTAGACACTAAAGAAGGCTGGGAGATGTTTCAGCTGTTAGATTAAGTTGTTAAAAAGACAAACACAACAGCAAGATGGTAGGTTTTGGTTTCAGTTCCACAAATGGACACTATGGGGTGCTAAAAGCAAGCCAAAACTGGAAAGCTTTCCTTTAAAAAAGGCAGAAAAATGACATAAATATTACCCATCCATCCATTTTCTTGAATCGCTTTTCCACGCAGAGTCGTGGGGAGGCTGGTGCCTATCTCCAGCTGTCTTCGGGCAAACAGGCGGGGTACACCCTGGACAGGTTGCCAGTCCATCTCAGGGCATAAATATTATACATTTATAAAATCAGATATTTCAGTTGCTATATCAGAAAGCTAGTTTAATCTCAACATGCCCCAAAAAGCATGATTATTTAATATTTTTGAACTCTAAAGCTCTTTCCGCTTGTCGCTCAGGCTCCTGTTGCTGTGCGGATGGCAAAAGAGGCAATAAACAGAGGAATGGAGGTAGATTGGGATTTTTCTTTCTTAAACATCTTCACATCACAATGAAAGAGGTGATCATAACTGTCTCTTCCAGGTTGACATCAGCTCAGCGATGGCCATAGAGAGAATGTGTTATGCTCGGGTAAGCCTAATTATTCCAGTGCTCAGCATAAATGAGCCCAGCCCCTTTAAAAAGTATTAATTTTATCATTAGCTCAGTGAACAAAAGAACAGTTTCCAGAATTTAACAAGGCTGGGTTTTATTTAACACTCGTTTAGCTCCATAACATGAAATTAAGTTTAATAATATAAGTTGGATCACAAAATATTCAGTTTGACTAAAATTGGTTAAAGCAAAAATGAATACATCCCACAATAAAATCTACTACATCTACTATTTTGTATGACCACCATTATTTTCAAGGACAGCACCCAGTCTTCTAGGCATGGAATGAAAAAGGTGGAGACATGTTGCAACATCTGTCGTTTTCCATTCTTCAAGAATAACGTCTTTTAGAGCCTGGATGCTGGATGAGAGTGATGCTCATCTTGCTGCTTCAGAATTCCCCACAGGTGTTTGACTGGGTTCAGATCAGGGGACGTACTTGGCCATTCAATCACCTTCACCCTGTTCTTCAGAAATGCAACAGTAGCATTAGATGTGTGTTTTGGATCATGCAGCCCACATAAGGACACTGCCACCACCGTGCTTCACTGTAGGCACCATGCATTTCCCTTTGAAATTCTCATCTTTACGATGCCGTACAGTTTTGAAACCATTAGTTCCATAAACAGTGATCTTTGTCTCCTCACTCCAGAGTCCCAGCAGTCTTCATCCCTGTCAGCATGGGCCCTAGCTAATCCTAGGCGAGCTTTTTTGTGAATGGGCTTCAGGAGAGGCTTCCTTCGTGGACGATACCCATGCATGCCATTCCTCTGCTGTATGGTGTCTCGGGAAATGGTCCCTTCAGTTTGGCTTTCTACTGCTTTAGCTAACTACAGTGAACTTGCATGGAGTTTTTCTTCAACGCTTCTCATCAGAAGATGCTCGCCTTTGCTACAATATTTTGGCTGGTATATAAAGCTTTGCTGATCTTCTTGAAGCCCTCACCTTATTTGTGTAAAGAAATTATTTTTCTGAGATTTTGTCACATTTCTCTTCCATCTGGAGCCACTGCTGACAGCATGAAACGAGAAGGGATTTCTTTATTAAGTAATGCCCTTTTATAATCGTTTGTCTGCTGGACACATTTTAAATGAACCATTAGACTCACATGTGGTTGAATGCCTGTTAATTTGAATTCTGTAGTCTTAAGTGTGGATTTTGTCCTAAGACTAATTGGGGTGTACTCATTTTTGCAACATGGGCTTGAATAGATTTTTTAGAACAATCCATTTTTTGTGTGAAAATCAAATCTTAACAATGGCCCGCATTTGTGGGAGTATTTTGTAGTCTCAGAAAATTTTGATTCTGAACAGAAACTAAAGGTTTTCTGTCAAATGCGCTGAGCACTTATGCACTGAGTAGAATTTGGGAACATATCCAATGAGAATATGAACCTGCTCAGTGCTCACACTGCCGTCTCTTTCCAGGTCATCCCAACCCGAGATCGACAGGAAGGGATGGCAGCTTTCATTGAGAAGAGACCTCCACGGTACACCGGGGAGTGAGCTTTGCCTTGGCGTCTTCATGCGTTCCAGAATAAAAACATGAACTGAGTTCAGCCTTTTGGGAGTATCAGGCTTTATTTAATGGGTGACACAATTAATGTGGAAATATTTTGTGGAGATAGGTTTTGTACTTTTTAGGAAGCATTGTCTGTAAAAGTGAGTTAATAAAAAATCTAAAGAAAGCGACTAGTGTGGTCTCCAGTTTTTGGCATCATATATTCTTTATTCCCAAACTTCAAACATGTGACTGAGCAGCAATGTGGCACAGCCTCAGAAAACATACAGCTTCTAAACTTTTGTTCTAATCACATTTTAATAAAGTTCTTGCGGGGGAAACATAAAATCAAACTGAACTTAATTCAGAGTTATGTTTGTAAGTAAACATAATCCACTGTGAGACCACTGAATTAAACATGGATATCAGAACGTTATGTGGCTTTGCAGCCTGACGTATTTATTCTAATATTTATTTAACCATCTCACCTCGTACCTGTTCCTTTGCTGAAGTCTTATCAGAGTGGGTCTGACAGCAGTTTGGAAATGAGAAAATGGAATTGATTGCATAGAAAAGAACAAAAGGGCATTTTTGGAGCTGAACAAGGACTTTGGTGAGTTTTCTGGCCAGTGGATGAATACCAGATGATACCTAACGCCATAATAACCTGGTCAATATGTCTGTTGGTCTGAACTTGTACTTAAGTAAAAAATGCAAATGGTGGAATCATTTTCCATGCAACCAATTGGACCAAACTGAATTATAGTAATGTTTACCCTCATTATTTACAAACTGCACATAGGCTTTAAAAATGCAGCTACTTGTGCAGACGAACATGCACACACACACACACACACACGCGCTGCTCACACCAAAATATGGAAAGCAAACAAACATTTATACAGAAGATTTAACCCAAACTAAATTATGTACATTCAGATTTCCCATTCTCTGCTTAGCTGGTTTATCCGTAGATAAATCTGATCAGAGAAATTCACATAAACGTAAATAAACTGTGCTCTGGGGTTTGTTAAACTCGACTGTAGTTGTATCATTTTATTTGTAATATTTAACACCTCTGGTGACCCTTTTTTTTCAATGATGTTAAAGATTTTGTCTAATTAAGGAACATTTTAAGAAGTGGCACCGTTGACCCATAAACAAGCCAGCAGGCACCTTCTAAACCAACAGTACAAAGATTCAGACCAGCATGCTTGAGCTCACAGCAGAGTCATGCATAGATTTGAAAAGTAACCAAACAATTCAGACAATACATTTGGGAGTACCTCTAGTGCAGCGGGGAGTTGACCCTCTGCTCAGATCTCAGAGCATTTTCATGTTTTTGGTAAAAAAATAAAACCATCATGCTGCTAAAGTCATCCTAACAAACGCGAGCACAAACACAAACTCCAAGCTGAGCGGAACGGACCGACAGCTTATAAATGTTTCATCACAGGATTTGCACACAGAAATGTTTTGTTGCTTTGACAAAAAGAAATAAATAGGTTCAGCATGTGCAAAGTATTGCAATGTCTCTGTCTTTTACCCTCTTGAGATTTTAGGAATTCATGCACACTTGTGTGCAGGATGTGCATCACAGCTGCACACGCACGTGCAACTCTCCACTCTGTTGTGGGATCAAGTCCTTTTCTTCTTAGTCGGGAGCATAGTCACCTAAAAGAGGCATAAAAGAATGGAGGACATCAGACCACTGAGAGTGCACCGGCTCAACATGCGCTTTCCTTTACCTTGGACGTGTTACTGAGAGGGGGGGTGTCTGCTTGTGCACGCCGGCTGGCCGGTGCGGGCTCTGTGGCGCTGCAGGCTCTCCAGAATGCTTTCAGCCAGAAGCCTGACGTCTCTGTGGGTCTGTGGGTGTGCATTAACGTGCTCAAGCTGCTGCAGGCCGCCCTCCTCCAACAACATGCTGCAGTAACGAGAAGCTGCAGCACAGTTTGGGTCAATTAGCATCTGTAAAGCGGAAGACTCAGGGGAAGTTTAGTTTAGTTTTAAAGGTGTGTGTGTCTTACCATTTTTGCTGCACACATGTTGCATGGCCCAGGCTGCCCATAATTGGACACCCGGTGTGTGAAAACACTCCAGGAGTGGAAAGAAAGGGTTAAAAGACCTAAAAAATGAATAGAATGAGGAAATGGATTCATTTCTGTTACCTTGCCACTTTGACACAAAGCTACAAGGTTTTGCTTAAACTTTTGTGTTTTATCATTTGGCTTGTGATCTTAATTTGTATTAAATTATCTTTTTATTTTTTATTTTTGTCTTTTAATCATGTTTTAATTGTGATGTGATTTTCTCTGATCCTTTTCCGTGACAGGTACTATGTAAATAAATTTTACTTACCTTTACTCACCTAAAAATACATCAATCAGAATCACCCTAAATCAAGGTTTGACCCTTTTCCATAGCAGAACATCGTTGTTCATATTAGATGGTTGGCATTAACACGTTTCCTAATTTTTCACAGTTTAGGACTTATTAGGTATTAATGAGAAAAAGGAAAATTATTCACATCTGTAAAATTCACACACACACACACACACACACACACACACACACACACACACACACACACACACACACACACACACCTAGTTAATCCTGTGTCTCGATGAAGTGCAACTGCTGGAGATAAATTGCAAACAACATTGACGAGAAGTTTCCACAGGGTCTGAAAATGTTCATTATGTGAGTTGCTGCTAAGCCTCAATCCCATGTTGCTCGAACTTGAAAGACGTTCAAAAGCTTCTCTCTTACTGACACGGGCAGCTGAAAACTACCTCAAACCACTTTTAGGTTGGCATCGATGAGAAGTGTGAGACTTGGTGACTAAACTGCAACTGGAACATTTCCAAAACAGTTTTCATTCTTTTCGCGTTTATGTTTATTTATTTGGCAGATGCTTTTATCCAAAGCGACTTACAATTTATAACCTATAGGGCACGTTGTGATCTGTGGGGGAAACCGGAGTACCCGGAGGAAACCCATGCATGCATGGGGGAGAACACGCAACTTCATGCAGAAAGGCCGCAGCAGAGTTTCGAACCTGCAACCTTCGTGCTGCGAGGCAACAGTGCTAACCACTGCGCCACCATGCACTCAGCCATGTGTAAAACATCATGCGTGTCATTGCAGTGGGGTTCGAGCTGAAAATGTGTAGATTTTCTGTCAAATTTGCGCCTCCAATGTTTGACAGTCTTGTAAGATATTGGCCTAATTAATCAGTTTAAAATGATATTCTAAGACTTCCATCTTCCAGTGAAGGTGTACCAACAACACATTTTTGTACAAGTTTAAGGTATTTATACTCTTTTAGGTGTCTGGTTCTTCAATTCCCACCTCTGACAGAACTTCCAAAATGTTCTGGGGGAGGCGGGGGACATTGAGTCTGAATGGACCCTGTTCCATGTCTCCATTGTTGAGGCGGCCGACCGGAGCTCTGGTCGCAGGATCGTCGGTGCCTGTCGTGGTGGCAACCCCCGAACCCGCTGGTGGACACCGGCGGTTAGGGATGCTGTCAAGCTGAAGAAAGAGTTCTATCAGGTCTTTTTGGCCTGTGGGACTCCAGAGGCAGATGACGGGTACCAGCAGTCCAAGCGGAACGCGGCTCGGGTGGTCGCCGAGGCAAAAACCGGATATGGGAGGAGTTCGGTGAGACCATGGAGCAAGACTTCCGTACGGCTATGAGGAGATTCTGGTCCACCATCCGGCGCCTTGGGGGGGAAAGCGGTGCGCTACCAACACTATCTATAGTGGGGACGGTGTGCTGCTGACCTCTACTCAGGATGTTGTGGATCGGTGGACAGAATACTTTGAAGACCTCCTCAATCCCACACGTCTTCCAGTGAGGAAGCAGAGTCTGGGGACTTTAGGTTAAGCTCTCAGATCTCTGGTGCGGAGGTCACTGAGGTGGTTAAAAAGCTCCTCTGTGGCAAGGCTCCAGGGGAGGATGAGATCCGCCCAGAGTTCCTTAAGGCTTTGGATGTTGTGGGGCTGTGTTGGCTGATGCGGCTCTGCAATACCACGTGGACATCGGGAGCAGTCCCACTGGACTGGCAGACCGGGGTGGTGGTTCCCTTATTTAAAAAGGGGGACCGCAGGGTGTGTTCCACCTACAGGGGGATCCCACTCCTGAGCCTTCCTGGTAAGATCTATTCAGGGGTTCTGGAGAGGAGGGTCCGTCGGATTGTTGAACCTCAGATTCAGGAGGAGCAATGTGGTTTTCGTCCTGGCTGTGGAACACTGGACCAGCTCTATACCCTTAGGGAGATCCTGTTGGCTTCATCAGAACGTGATCTTCAACTTTCACTGGAGCGGTTCACAGTCGAGTGTGAAGCAGCTGGGATGAGAATCAGCTCCTCTAAATCTGAGACCATGGTCTTGATTCAGAAAAGGGTAGAATGCCTTCTCCGGGTCAGGGATGAGGTCCAGCCCCAAGTAGAGGAGTTTAAGTATCTCGGGGTCTTGATCACGAGTGAGGGAAAACTGGAGCGTGAGATCGACAGGCGGATTGGTGCTGCATCTGCGTTGTACCGGTCTGTCGTGGTGAAGAGAGCCGAGTCAGAAGGCGAAGCTCTCGATTTACCGGTCGATCTACGTTCCTACCCTCACCTATGGTCATGAGCTTTGGGTAGTGATCGAAAGAACGAGATTGCGGATACAAGCGGCCAAAATGAGTTTTCCCCGAAGAGTGGCTGGGCTCTCCCTTAAGATAGGGTGAGAAGCTCGGTCATTCGGGAGGGGCTCGGAGTAGACCTGCTGATCCTCCACATCGAGAGGAGCCAGTTGAAGTGGCTTGGGCATCTGGTCAGGTTGCCTCCTGGACGCCTCCCTAGTGGTTTTCCAGGCACGTCCAACCGGGAGGAGACCTAAAGGTAGACCCAGGACACGGTGGAGGGACTATGTCTCTCACCTGGCCAGGGAACGCCTTGGGATTCCCCCGGAGGAGCTGGCCCAAGTGGCTGGGGAGAGGGAAGTCTGGGCCTCTTGACTTAGGCTACTGCCCCGCGACCCGACTCAGGATAAGCGGATGAAGATAGATTAGATTAGATGAGATTAATAGACAGACAGACGGATGGATGAAATTAGGGCAAATTCTCCCATGACTGTCATCTTGTTTACAAAGCAAACAATCAATCAAATCACCAAGAAAATTCTAATTATCTTTAAGGTGCCAAAAGGGATGAAAATCAACTCAGCCTCAGTTTTATGATATAATATAAAGTAAAACAACAATAACATGAGAAGCCAGGTGTACACTGTACAACTTTTCCAGTTGTATTCAGCTCCATCTCAAACTGTACGACCTTGTCGCAGGGCAAAGCTCACGAGTCGTGCTCTCACCCTAATGCTCGGCTGTGACCTGTCCGCTCACACTGCGTGTGTGGGCACAACATGTCAGACCTCTGAATCCGGAAGACGGGAAACTGTTGTGGATGTCTGTTGTCCTTGAGGCTTGCTGTCCTTTTAAGAGGACACGAAGGGGTTAATGGGAATTGGTGGTAGAAGAAGGAAGGCGTGTAGGAAGCTAACTGAGGTTTGGGGACTTGTTTTTATGCAACACAAACACGGCAAACAGGCTTTGCTGACGATTCTTGCCACCGGGAGCAGAGAAAAGTGTAAAAATAAAAAAGAGGCGATGTGCGTGGACACGGAGGCACCGTGTTGGCCCATGTGCCGTGTTAGCGGTCCTGGTACATTTGAGTCGTGGTGCTGCTACCCTCTCATGAGGGACAAGCAAAACATCAAACATGTTTGATAATCGTGTAACGGCATGACTGCCGATCAGAATCTGGTGGTGAGTTAAATCTCACTTCTCATTGCCCCTGCATACTATAAAATGCAAAACTCGCCCCGACCTCAAAGGATGCTACACGAGTAGAAAACCGTCTCACAACGGGCCGAGAAGGCACGGTGTACTCCCGGCTTTAGGTGCGTCTCACCTGTAGGCCACCATTTCACACTCTGGAGGGGGCCACTTCATTATGACCGCATGCTGGAGATGAACACAGGCAATTTATGATCAATGAAACTTCTCAAACAACCTATAAGCATCAATTAAGACCAGCTTTGTTTGAGTTGTACCAGCTGGTCGAGCAGCGAGGACCGAAGCCTGGGGCTGAGTGTCCAGGCCTCCTCTCCTCGTGACGTGAGATGGGCGAGGATGCCCGCAGCGAAGTAGCTGACCTCCACCTCGGGGCTGTGCAGCAAGGATTTGATGTGGTCCAGAAAGCCCTGCACCATCAGCTCCTCGTGCAGCTCCCGTACCTCTGCTATGTTGTTCTACACAGCAAGAAGGTGAATGTTTCTGACTTTTGTTAAAAGACCAATTTCTACAAGAGAAGAGCAAACTCACCAGAAGCCCGAGAACTTTCTGCTGGATGGAAGATTCATTTGGGAAAGACTGCAGAGTAAAAAAAACAGAAAGAGCACGAGAGCGATGACATCCGTTCTGTGCCGCCAGAGTGAAATGCGCTTACTGTCGACATTTCTGAGTACCTCCAGAACTTTAATGAACAGATCCAGCCCTTGGTTCTCAATAAAATGGCGACAGGTTGTGGGCGATTCGTCTGTAAGGTTCCACAGAGCGCTCAGTGTAAATTTGAGGGTTGCGTCCACCACGCTCTGACTTGCCTTCTGACGCACGATGTGGAGCAGTTGCTTTAGGTCGAGGAGAACAAAGAAGATTGTAGCTTTTCAGCAAATCAGTGTGAAAAAAGAGGAGAGGGCCTCTGTGTGAAAGATTAAACAGGCACCTTCACTATGAACAGCTCCGCTCCCAGCTGGGCCGTCTGTTCTGTAGATAACTGCAAAGAAAAACACAAATATAGAACACGAGGACATCGAGTCTTTACCGAAACACAAGCGTCTACCTTAGCAGCCAGTATGGAGATGATGGCCACGGCCATCCTCTGCATGTTTTGGTCTTCGTGGTTGCAGAGCCACTGCATGACGAGTTTAGCAGCTTCAAACCTTAAAAACAGGAAACAGTTGTTGACACAGGAAGCTAAATCACAATGAATCAACTTCATAAGGAGGCACAGGACCAGCTTTAAATGTGTACTTCTGACATAAAAAAGTGAACATTTGAATTAAAGAATGAGTAACTTTACACAAAACATGTTTCCTACCTGTTGAAGGGAACCTCCTGCAGGATGCGATCGCTGCACAGAGACAATAAGCAATTCTTCTGCAGCTACAGGAAAGAAAATATTAAAAAAGTTGCAGCTCAGCGAGGTTTTTACCACCAAAAATAAAGAAACAGAACCAGCTGCAGTACAGCGAACATGACGCTACCTGTTGATGGTTGGGGAAAGTCCTCATGGCCTCCAAGAGGAGCTGAGTGACGGTGCTTAAGAGTCGGACCGGCATTCCCGCCGCTAGGTCCTGCTTTGTCAGGTTGAAGACACACGCGCTGGCTGCCAGCTGGACATTTAGAGTGGCTGGATGGTTTTTCATACCTAAAACTACCAACTAAAGTAAATAAAACAAATAAAGAAAACACACAAGACAGGGAGGGTAATGCTAATATAAAAGAAAGTTTCACTTGCTTCCTAACATTAGACTTGACAAATATGAGATTAGGAATGAAAAGCTGCTCACCTTTAGGATGTCAGGTCGGGGTTTCTCCATCACGTGTGTCAGACTGAACAGATGGAACAGAGCTTCTCTAACAAAACCCTCCCTCTCACTGTACCGCCGCAATGCTTCACAGATCTGAGTCTCGTTAGCTTCTCCTGTCACCTGTTTGCACACAGGAAAAGGCTCAAATTCAAAGTTTCCCACACTTTATTCAGCAGTTGATTGGTGTGCGTAGCCAACCTAACCTTTAGAGTTCCCTCTCCTGACAGGAAGTCAGAAAAACCAGCATCTGTGGCTAAAAGCCCCATAAAGGTCATCCCTGGTCGCTCCTCAACAAATGTTTTAACAGCTGCATCTGTTACCTGCAACATAAACAAACACGACATGAAACTCAACTCTGAGTTAATGCATTTAAAGTGTTTCTAGAGGGAGACGAGGACCCATTCACACACCTGCTTCCTCCCAGACACATCCAGGGAAACAAGAGCGGGCAGGATCCCCGGCTGCCCGAGCAGCTGACGGGCCACGTCCGAGGTAAACTGCTTATCATCACTGATGTCCAGGTGCTGCAGGTTACACACACACGCACACACAATAAGAGAGTGAAGTAAACACAACACCAAACGTGTCTGCTCTTCTCCATTCACCTGCAACACATTCAGCTGCCCTATGACCCCCAGCAGCTGAGCTGTGCTCATCTCCAGCCTCTTCAGCTGGTGTAGTGTTAGTGAGCGGAGCCTCTCCTTCAGGCCCAGAAGTGGGGTCAGGTTTGTAACAGAAGTGTTGGAGAGATCGAGGCTCTCAAGTCGAGGCAGAGAACACACATCCACCAGCCCAGAATCGTAAAAGTCTACGTTAGCTAGAGAGAGCGACCGGAGGCCGCGGAGGGTGTTGAACTGATACCAGATGGGTTCTTCCAGAGAGGACATGGTGAGACCGGTTAGGACGAGCCGCTGGAGAGATTCCTGCAAAACGTTTTAATCATCAGCGCACTGAGAAAGGAGAGGAGAGGGTAGCTCGATACACACAGTGTGACGTGCTCTTCATTTACCTGACAATATTTATTGGTGGCCAGTCCCTGTAGAATATCAGGAATGGTGAGGTCTGCATTGACTCTGGCAGCATCTAGCTCTAGCAGTCTGTGCGGACACAGAGCTTTCTGGAAGGCCTCTGCAGAGATCCGAGCTGTACCGATGCGGGCTCGTCTCAGCCGCAAGTATTCACAATTCCTGAACACACCCACTGTGCTGTCATTCAGAAGACCTGGAGTCGCAAACAAAAAACCGTCCAGAATCAATAATGGATCAGAAAATATTTATAACAGCACGACACTTTCTCTGTTCAGTTACTAAATTAATGTGGTGTGTACAAAAACATATAATAAAAAGAAAGTTTATTTTATGCTTTACGGTGTAAAGAGTCTCATAATAGCCACATACAAGAGGTGGGGAGGTTTTTAATTAGTAACGCTAAATAGTCCCTTATCTAACGGGGTAAAAATATGAAAATGGCCAGAAACCTTATTGAAACATTTTTAACTATAACAAATGTTGATGTTTGATCATGGCTGCAGCCTTTGTGAACGGAGTTACCCTGATCTCATTGTGCATGCATGGGTTTTCTTCCAAAGGCCACAAACTTGCATGTTTGATTAACTGGTGACTCTAAATTGTCCCTTGGTGTGAGTGAGTGTCTGACTGGTTGGTTGTCTCCGTGTTGGACCTGCCCACAATATCCTCCACCTCTTGCCTGACGGAGCTAGACACCAGATCTCCACGACACAACAGGGTGACATTTTGTTGTTTTTAAAAGTGGCTCCATTCCAACTTTTTAAATTTGGCTTTTAATTTGTTTATTTGAGCATTTTATTTAAATTATTTACTTGGTCTCTGTGGGTAGGGCGAGTGAGCATGATGAGTGTGTTAACACACTATTAGTGAATGACTAACTTCACAATTCTGCCCTTTAACATTACACCAGGGCCTGAAGGCTGTGATTTTATTCTAGTTTATTTGTATGTACTTTGTTGGTTTTACCAGAACTTTTTAAATAAATTTTGATTGAGAAGGATCTTTTTTTCCAAATAAATTACAATGAGTTTAAATTAACTGAAGGGAGCTGTTGCAATAAAAACAATTCAAGTATATAACCACTATAACATTTTTTACTTAACAGGAATACTAGGGGGGAAAAATCTGGTTATTTGATAAATAGAGTTGGAGTTTGGTTTTAATAAAATGTGAATAAATGTAGAAAATATGTTTTAAAATGGTGAAACGAAACAGACTTTAATTTTTGTTTCTGAGCTATTTGATGCTGAAGACTGTAGGTGGGCTACCAGCTGCCTGGTTTTACCTTCACAGGCCATCTTGGCCAGCAGCTGGTCTGCCAGCTCCTGTGGGAAGAGCACAGCCTCCCTGAAGCACCAGGACCCATCAGGCAGCTTCACGCAGAAAGACTCCAGGTTCTGGCTCACAAAGGTGAGGCACAGGTCTGTGAGAGCCGATGGAGAGGCATCATCCTGGAGACGAAAAGGCAGGGGGTTTCAAATGACTCATGCTGTAGGTTTAACGATGCGTTTGCATGAAAACACAATCCAAACTTACCGTATTTAGGAAACTACAGGCCATGGCCATGTTTTCGTAAACAAAACTAGTTTTAGCTTATGCAGGAGACTGGTGTCTTTAGCGTATGTTTAGCTCTGTCCGCCCCGTTTCCGAGCCTTTGTGGGTTTATTTTTCACCTGTCTGCTGAGATTGAGCCGAACGCAGACAGAAGACCACTTGCGTAAACGGAGCTAGCTCGCTTGCTGTTCCTGAGCTGCAAAATCGCTCCAGACGCTAAAATGTCCAACGTGGACGGTTGTGGCGGAGTTCATGTCGCCCGGACGCCGTAGCAACCCAGACTAATAACAGAGGAGCCAGCTTAGAAACGACGTTTCAGCAGAAAGCGAAGTCTAACGGAACCGAAGAGTACAGTAAACAAAAGGTCACAACACCGGAAGTACATTATAGGGAGACTGGACTACGGAAGCCTGGGAGGGAAGGCGAATTATGAAAGCAAAGCTATTAGCAGCACAGAAGTGAGTTAATACTCTTCTGTTTTGAGTTGTTGAACGCCATTTGTTTGGTCATAACACGCTTTCACATCAGTCTTGCGGCTAAAAACATTGATGCGGAGGAGAAACGTCCGTAGCATCAACACATTGCGTTATTCATCAAGGTCAAACAGCAGTGGATGTTGGGAGCAGATCTCCGACACGCGTGAGTGCTGTGCGGACGTGCTAACGCTCAAATAATGGCTGGACTAATAAACTTCGAGGATGAGAATGAAGTGAAGCAGTTTTTGGACAACTTAGGAGTGGAGTACAGCTTCCAGTGCTACAAGGAGAAGGACCCCGAAGGTAAACTAACGCTGTTTTTGCAGATCAGTGGTGCTGGAAGTACAAACCCACGTGGTTTGATGTGAGATTAAATCTCTCTGGTGTGTTTTTAGGGTGTCAAAGATTGGCAGACTATTTGGAAGGAGTGAAGAAAAACTACGAGTCCACTGCACAAGTTCTCAAACACAACTGTGAGACACATGGACACGCAGAGAGCTGCTACAAACTGGGAGCGTACCACGTCACGGGCAAAGGTAGCAGGACTCCCACACCATCAGGAGTATTTCAGCTTCTTTTCTAGTTAATTATTGTACTTTTTACACAAGAGAATAAAAAAAGATTCTTAATGTATGAATGGTTCCAGCCGTGCTTTACAAGTTACTTTTACATCACATGGTACTTATTTATTACATAAAATAAAACATCTTTAACATATAATCAGACAATCAAAGAAAAGGCAGGTGAAATGGGCTATCTGTATATCATCTCCCTTTTCTGTGTCTAATGGGGTCACCTGTTCTTTTTAATTTGAAGCCAGACGTTGTGCCTGTTAGTAAAGTTCGTATAAATACACACACACATATACTGAGTCACATTTCTTTAAACCTCTCCAACAGGTGGGATGACTAAGTGTCTGAAAACAGCCTACTCCTACTTTCTACGCTCCTGCAATGCACCGGGAAAGAAGTCTGGAGACGCCTGCCATAACGTCGGTCTGTTGCTGCACGATGGACGGACCATGGAGGGAGGGCCTGACCCTACCGCTGCTCGGCAGTACTACGAGAAGGCCTGCACTGGCGGCTTTGCTCCGTCCTGCTTCAACCTCAGTGCCATGTTCATCGAGGGCAACTCGAAAGGGCTGGCCCCAGACATGACTCAAGCCTTGAAGTACGCCAACCGGGCTTGTGAACTGGGACACGTGTGGGGCTGTGCCAATGCCAGTCGGATGTACAAGCTCGGGGACGGTACAGAGAAGGACGAGAAGAAGGCGGAGGAGCTGAAGAATCGAGCAAGGGAGCTCCACGGTTTTGAAAAAGAGAGGCAGATTAAATTTGGGGAGTGATTGCAACGTACCTCATAAAGTAGTCATTGTTTTATTTTAGCTAGAGAGCTGTGTCAGAGCAAAAATATATTGTGAAGGGCAAAGCGATCCATAACCCTCCCACTGTCCTAATGGGTGTGACCCCGCGAGGAGAGTTGACCATTGAGCAGGACTGATGTTTTATCTCTTGGGTCCACGTGGCAGGGGTGAGGAGTGAGCACCACCTCACCCCTGCCACGTGGACCTCAAGATATAAACCATCAACCCTGCTCAATGGTCAACTCTCCTCACGGGGTCACCCATAAAGACTGGGAGGGTTAAATGAATCAGTCATGCCTCACACGTTACCCAAATACAGGTTGTAGATGGTGAGAGTGGTGTCTGGATGTGGATAAAAGAGTAAATATATGTATGTAAAACAAGTGATGTGCTGTTGTGTGTCTATTTGCAGTGGCTTTTAAGAAGACACAAGCTTATAATGTGGGACTTGTGGGACTATTAAAGGATTATTATTATTAATAATGTGGGACTGAGCAGGTGTTGAAGATCAAAGAATAAACATAGAACGTTTTATCTTTAAAAAGCTGCTGAAAATCCTTAAATGATCTAAAAATCCCAACAAATGAGAGAAAAACATGTTAGACATCACTTTTATTTCCCATCGTTTATTTTATTTAGAATTTGCTTTCAGGGAACCCGATTTTCTTGTGATGCTTTCAAACCTTAAAAACAGTGAATTTTTTTTGTGATCAAAAGATATTTGAATGAAAATCATCCCAACAGGTCCAAATCCATTCTAGCGAAGGACTCCTTGTGTGATGGCTCCTTCATAAATCTTACGTCCATTGTGAGTTTTGGGATATTTTCAGCCCGAGTTTCTTTGCAGGATGTTAGAATGACCTCCCAGAACTCCTACTGGGATGGGAACCGCCTCCCACCCGGAGAGAGTTGAGGATGCTTTGGAGGTTGTGATGAGGGGAGGATGCCCATGGGAGCCAGTAATGAGGAATGAGTTGCACCAAGAGATGCTGTGTTGTCCTGCATGACGAGAATTTTGTTGAGGAAGGTAGAATTTTTCTTTTTGATCATGGAAGAATGTAGTTAGTCTCAAACTCCACATACTTTTCAGAGGTCATTTTTATACCTTTAGGGGGCCAACAAGGTCTCTCCTTGCTATTCTGACCCAGACCGGGACTTTGCATCCTCCTTGCTGAAATCTCAGCCTTGTTGGGACATGAGGGACATTCACCAAACATCCATCAGGACTATCGCGGGCAGCGTGGTGAACAGTACATTTTGAAAATTGGTCTTCATGTAGCTTTGCAGCCATTTCTGCTTGTGAGCAGTGGTGGGGAGGGGAGGTACACTCCAGAGGCTCCAGCAGCTTCTTTTACCCACTTGCTGCTTTTTAAATAGCAGCTGCACTCTCAACCAGATGCATTTGTTTGACATATAATGGGTACGGAAAGTATTCAGACCCCTGTCAATTTTTTCACTCTTTGCTATATTGCAGCCTTCTGCTGAAAACAATGAAACTGTTTCCTCATTAAAGTACGCGCAGCACCATATTGACAGAAAAACAGAAATTTAGAAATGTATGCTGATTAAAAAAAAGAAAAACTGATATATTACATAGTCCTAGGTATTCAGACCCTTTGCTCAGTATTTAGTAGAAGCACCCTTTTGAGCTCATACAGCCAAGAGTCTTCTTGGTAAAGATGCAACAAGTTTTTTACTCCTGCCGTTCTTCTTTGCAGATCCTCTCCAGTTCTGTCAGGCTGGATGGTGAACATTGGTGGACAGCCATCTTTAGGTCAATCCAGAAATGCTTCATTGGGTTTAAGTCAGGGTTCTGGCTGGGCCATTCAAGAACAGTCAGAGTTGCCATGAAGCCACTGTGTGCTTAGGGTCATTGTCACGTTAGAAGGTAAAGAGGTCCTGAGCACTCTGGAGAAGGTTCTTGTCCAAGATATTCCTGTATTTGGTCGCATTCATTGTTTCCTCGATTGCAACCAGGCTGAACCAGGACGCAAGATGTTCGCCCTCCCCTCAGTATGCAGACTCATACCCGTCTCAGATGAGGCCAATGAGGGTGGTGTCCTCAGTGAACTTGGCCAGCTTGAGGTGGCTTGAAGTTCAGCTGTTGGTGTGTAGAGGGTGAAGAGTAGGGGAGAAAATACATTACAATGAGAAGAAAGGGAAATTAATTTTGGGATTCAATGCTGCTCATGTATGTATTTGCTTATAAAATCTGTTTTCCTTTTTTATTTGTTGTTTTGTAAAACTAAAAAATAAGAAAAGTTGAAGTCTGTAATTATACTCTCATTTCTTATATATAACGATTATCTGATAAAATGCAATTAAAACATACCTCTGACTAATTTCTCCTAATTCCAAAAACAGTTGGGAGAACAGCTGAAATGGGAAGTAGTTTCACAATTGGCCACAAGAGGGAGCCAAAAACAAACAAATCTGCTTTGCGCCCTTTTACAATGCGACTGGATTTTCGGTTCAGCAGACATGGATGTTAGCTGATGACCACTGCTCTGCGGTAGGCACCAACCCTCTGTGTTAAACCGGCAGAAATAACACCGACAGACGGACTAAGAAGCCAGGCGACCCTCTTGAGGACTGTGATGGGCAGACTGGCCCACTTCGCACGCGTGAAGCTCCGCCCGTTAGCGTCTCCTCAGCCCTCATTCAAAACAGAACACAGCTGTTGCGAGGCGCTCTGTTGTGTGCGGAGCGTTAAAAACGACGATCCGACTGCTGTCCTCTGATGTCCTCTCTGGAATATCAGACGAAGGAAGGAAAACGGCACACTTTGGTAAGTTACGGAACGCAGTAATAGAGACTGTGTCATCGTGAGCCACATTATTCGATAATCCCTCAGCCGTCGAGTTAGCGAGCTAACGCAACCGCGAACCGTACGGGTGTGTTTGTTTTTATGCACAGGAAGCACCTTATCTAAATAAATCACGGGGACGTGGAGGTGTAAGAACAGAGCTGAATACTGAGATGGGTCCAGCGTGTTGCTGTGTAGACTTTGTGTAGCTGGCTGTGGTAATGTGTTGTAGACATTTTCTTTTTATAATTCTTCTCAACCCACGTGAAGAGACACGACCGCTCCACCACACAGAGACGGGAGAGAAGGGTTTGTAGTGATGCCATCCGTAAATCATGCGCCCCCTTTCTGGCTAGTGAGGCGGGAGGCTAGTAGCAACATTTGTTACATGCTAATGGAGACCGTGAAGCAACCGGAGGAGATTCCGCGCGTAGGCTGTGTTGGTTTTACTTTAAAGACTTTAGTCGGCACACGTTTAGCGTGTGTTAATGTCGAGCTCTTTGTCCTGTTAGCTCAGGAGGACAGCGTGCTGTAGCGCCAGCGGGCCGTCTCTGCCTCTCCTCCGGATAGCTCACTGGCGACAAACCCCCTGCACGGTTAACCTCCGGGGGGTGATTTGGGTGTGGCGTGGGCTCCCCCACAAACAATACTCTGTATTCTGATTTACTCTGTTTCAGCCAGAAAACTAAAATGTGGAGGTGATGTGAGTCCTACAGAGAGGGTGGGAAGCTGCTGTGGCCTGAAAGGATTCAAGAAACTTGAGCTTCTTGTACATTTGCATGAGAATGATTGTTTATTTGTTTCTTGTTGACAGGTTTCATATAATTGGAGTGTTTCAGTTAGACGTTTAAAAAAGATCCAGCTTCATGAACTTATTTCAGTGAGAGGTGCTGCTGCTCTGATCAGGTCAGATGCACCAAATCCTGGTTAGAGATCAGGTCAAACCAGTGTGATCCTCTTAACTGTCAGCCTGGAACTCATAAATCTGATTTTTTTCTTCCCTTTTTGGTCTGTGAACGCACCATTAATAATCAGCAAATAAATAATCAGCAAGTAAAACAACCCAACATGTTTTCCTGATAATTACGGTTAGTAATGACAGACTTCCACAATCACATTTTCCAGCCTAAGCGGAGACAAATTAACATTTTCTGGTTCCTGACATATCTTCGAGTGTATCTTGGATGTTGGATTGTGGTGTGCCAGTTAATGGCGGTATGTGCAGCTGTAAATCGTGGACCACTCCTAACCAAACTAGATTTGATCTGTTTTATGGTCACAGAGCTGATAATTCAGGTATTGGTTTTGACCCAATTCTTTTTTTTATTGCAAACCATTTAGACAAAAACACAGTAACTCACAGAACTGCTGGATTCCTAAAGGACTACTTATTAACAGCCTTATCTAGTCCGTCATAGTGCAGAAATGAATTCAAGGTATCCGTATGTGAATCAGCTGCAGATGGAATTCTGGGAATTCCATTTCTTCATGTAAACACAGCCTGCTCTCCTCTTCTGTGAAGTTATTGCTCTTTCCTCTTAGCTCCTTTTTAAAGACTTGGAGGAATTTTCCATATTGATATTTTGTCAGACTGTGGGGAGCTGCTGTTCTCAACACACCACACATGACCCAGAGGTCACTGGTTCAGCTGCATGACTAGCATGCCTTTACAGTATTGTTCAGATAAGACCCCATGCATTTTTGTTTGAATTTAACAATCACCATTGGGACTTGTTTTTGACAGTATTAAACATCTTCATCTTATTTGTGCTTTTAATTCTAAGACTTGGATTAGGTTACAGTCAATTGTTCCAAATGTTGGAGATGTTAAACAAGGAATCTGTGAGAAATTCCCTTTTCAGTATAAAAGCAGGAAAATGATGTGGACATTTTTATAGATCTCCTATTGAAGTTGGGCTTTAGTAGTATGCATCAGAGACATTTACCCAAGTAGCCCACAGGCTGAGTTTATTATCCAGTCCAATATCGTTGATCCTGTATTTCATTTCGTTCAGAGCTTTGCGCTCATCCTAAGTGACACGACTCCCATCTACACACCTATTTACAAATGTTGTAATATTAATATCATTACGTATCTTTGGGCTGATCCTGCTCTTGTCCTCTCCATCTGTAAACCAAACGTCACGTTGCATATCCGTTGCTCACCAACAGAAACCGTGTGAGTGCCTGGAGGCTTTGTTTGGACCCAGATAGTTAGCGTGCTGTGCTTTCTTTTTATATGACATCATCTTGTATATGCTGCAGAATTATTTATGCGTTTGCAAGAACGTAAGGCAGTAATTGAAACATTAAGTCCTGTTGCAGTCTGAGAACGTTATTAAAAGGGTATGCCTTTGCAAACTTTAGTCACAGTTCAGGTTTCAGTCTCTGATCAGTTTAGTAATATGAGCAGCAGCTACTTGTAAGAAACCCTCTCTTGGTCTCTGCACATGCAACCTCCACCTTCTGGACCAGGTCAATCCCAGTGACGCCTCATGTCCATCTGTTCAGGTTCGTGTTGTAATTGCTCTGTCCAAGGCCTGCAAATGTGATTAGTTAGTTTATCTCTGCGTAGGGTTGTCACGGTGTGAAAATTTAACCTCACGGTTATTGTGACCAAAATTACCACGATTTTCAGTATTATCGCTGTATTTTTTTAAACGTGTTACATTTTCAGACAGCTAAATAAACCCTGTATGTCAGGAAAATATTGTCCTCAGTTTGTGTCTAAATTTTGCCTAAAATGTGTTATTTTGTAATTTTTTGTTTATTTGTTTACATTTTTCCCCTTTAGTCTTTAAAATACCAATATTTGCCCATAACTTATTTTTTGTCTGTTTGATGTCATCATTTAAAAATATTAGACCAGATGATACTCAGTACTCAAGTAGCCTTCTAATCAGATACTTTTTTACCCTTACTTGAGTAATAAACCCTATATCAGGAAAATGTTGTCCTCGGTTTGTGTCCTTCCAGTGAGCTTTGCAGATGTGGGAAAATGTCATCAGGCAGTAATCATTGTTAAATTCATAATTATTCTCGGAGAGAGACCAACTCTTATCTGCCCCTGGGAGCCCCGTAATGCATAGCGTCATTTCAACATGGGGGTGTCCGCGACACGGTTCATATGCAGGTAGCGGCGCTGCTGCTGCTGCTTTATATAGCGACTCGTTGCATTCTCCCTCATCCCAAATCCTCGGATCACGCATTTTAGCTAAAACGCTAACGTTAGCTTGCCTTGCGTTGACTATAGAGTTGTGGGTGATGGTCACGCAGATGTGTCATGAGATTTGAAGCGTTGCTGCCTTTCACAGACACGTTTTCTGCACGTGCTGCAAACAGGATAGCCGTCTTCTATCAACTGTCCCTCGGCATTCTTCATGTATCCAAAAGATGCCCGTACTTCCCACTTAGTCTTCTCTGAGGGATAATAAATGTCCTGAGCGCTGCCGTTTGGCCATTATTTCAGCTTTAGCTTCAAGAAAGTTTTGGTTGTAAATAGGGCTGCAACAAACGATTATTTGGATAATCGATTAATCGGATGGGGTCTCGACACGATTAATCGATTAATCGGATTACATGGGGAAATTTTTAAAAACTGCTAGGGAAACGTTATTTCTCTCCTTCCTTCACTTTATTTAACACAACATTATTAGAAAACAGTTCAATAGCAGAAAAACAACATGCCATCACGTAAATTGTCTTATAAGGTGTATAGACAGAGACCCTAAGCTACATCTATCTGTGACCTAAAATGCTTGGTCCAAGTTAAACAGCTTAAGGGCAATTCTCATCTGTTTTGTTTGATCTCATCTGTTGACATTTATTTTAAATGTAATTAAACATAGGCTGTGAATTAATCAAAATTGATCACGATTTCCAAAAATGACTGAAAAAATACCAAATAAAACAAAAGTAAATGAATGCCATCCTCCTTGCGATGATGCCCTGGGCAACTGCCATAAAGTCACATCAAGAAATGCTGCTGATCATTCCAATGATCCCAAATAGGCTCACATTAGGCCACATGAAAGCAACTGAACCCAAAAATATATTAACCAGTATATATATACAGTATAACTGCACTCACACAACACGCCTGCAGCAACAGTTAGGACTCCTCCCTCCCTTTTAAAAGCGTTTTTGCTTCTGAGGACATTGTGGTTGTAAAACCACATGCTAGTAGTCTGGCCCCGGTGTGATCAACCAGTTTCTGCGGGAATGTGACGGCGGAACCAGGGCCAGATTAACACTTTGTTGTACCCTGGGCAACAATATTCAAGGGCTCCATCATCACGACCCGAGGATCACCATAATGTGGTCACATACAGAATATTTTACTGTAATATGCAGTAAATATACTCAATACTTGAATGCCTGACAACACGTAACCCGCCCAGAGTAACCTTTGACCCACCTCGTGTGGACTGACCAATGAGGAGAGGGTCTTAACTTGAGGCCCTCTCTTCATTGGTCAGTCTGCATGAGACTGACTCTCAACTGACGTCCAGTCGTAGGCAGCGAAGCGTCTCTGTGGAGTGCAAAAGCCCGGGTGGACAGTTTGTTTAATATAGGGTGACCATATTTCCATTTCCAAACAAGAGGACAGGGGATCTGTGCCTATGACGTCACACTATGGCAACGCCACACAAACCATGTTGGGACCCATTTTTTTGTAAGAACTAAATTAATATCAGATTCTGCCAATAAAAGGGCTCTAAAACAATTCATATGTAAATATTTTGCATATTTAATGCAAAATCTAATTTTTCTGCTTTAGTGCTGCAACAAGGTTTTATTAATAATAAATTATTATACCTTTTGTTTTACTACAGCATCGGTAAGCTTCCTGTGCACAGATTATTAAGGATGCTTGTTTCAGCTGTGAGATTAGACGATAGGATCAATGAAAAAATAAGTTGTCACACACTCCATGGAAACTTTCAGAGAATCCACAAATAGTGGCTTTCAGATGGTTTTGT